GCAAAGTCCCTCCCAGACCAGACGCAAGCGAAGACATCTTGGACACACGCGTCCGGTTGACCAGGCGCTTGTTGCGCTGGTAGCACAAGCCGCAGAGCTTCCAGCTCTGGAACGACGTAGTGGACAAACACGAAGAGCACACAAAGATTCCACACACATTACACAGGTGTTTCTTCTTCCTGGAGAAGAACCCAAGAGCACGCTGACAGGTCTGGCATTTGCGTTCGCGGTTCGACCGCGACGTGAGGAGACCAAACCGAGACGTTTTAGTTGACGCGGCGATAGCCGCGTCTCCGCTTGTAGCGGCGTAGTTCTCAACCAGCTGTCGATACCGGATCGACAAACTGTAGGCGTCGTGCAGACTGGAGAACGCGCCGTAAAAAGGCTCGGCGCACTTGGTCAGTTCAACGTCCAGCCACAACTGCATCTTGAGGATCCCACGATGACTGGTCTCGGCCAGTACCAGCAGCATCGCGTGGATGGCGCCGCGATGTACCTGTAGTTGCGCGTGGTGACTATTGGCACTCCTCATCTCGAACTCTCGTTCGGGGACGTCCACGGAGCGCAGCATCTTAAAGACGAACTTGTTGCCCGAAACGGGGTGCACGCCGCGTCCAACTGTTTCCATGAGTAGGAATTCTTCGGCGTGGCGTTCGTCGAGGAGGGACCGGTATTTGACGTGTTTAAGTCCGACGTAGCGGTACGGCGTTTCTTTGGTGCGTGGCACAAGGGAGTCAAGCACGCGAGCGTCAAGAAGAAGGTCCGCAGTGAAAAGCTCGCTCTCGACGCGGCGGAAGCTGCTGGTGTCGTCGGCGTGCAGTGCGCGCATGGCGTCCTGCAGTGTACCGATGACGGCCTGGCAGCTCGCAGCCGTGGAGCGACGGCGACCGCCGCTGTCGCGCGTGTGGACGTAAGGGCTGACATTGATAGGCGGGCGCGAGGCTGCACGCTCCCAACTGGCAGAGACCGAAGGTGAGGCCGTGCGACTGAAGTAGTTGCTCTGCAGTACGTGGGCTACGCAGTTGGCGTTGTCCTGCAGCAAGGCCTGAGCACTGGCCGCGGACTGAACGCGCATCGGAGACGGCAACGGGGGGAGATCTCAACTGTACTGCGCTATGACCCGAATGAAGACCGCGAGCCGCAAGGGTACACACGGGGTCGTTTGTCGAGTGATCGAGTGAGGGGCGGCTCAAGGCACGTCGAACTGTGCCTGGCTGAAGTTCGGATGTCCATCGGGGAAGGTGCTATGATGGCACAGACAGGGTGCGGGACATAGACAAAGAGAGGGAACCATGTGTCTCTTTAATCAAAACCTTATGCAACTTGCTTGATGTTATATTTCAAGTACAGACAGGTAAAAAGATACAAAGATTATAATCTCTGTGATCTTATAAAATGCCAAATGAAGTATATAAATTGGGCGGCAGGTTTTATGGTGTTTTGAAACCATCCGGTGACGACGAGCAAACGAGCTAGAGCTTGCCGACACCACAACGAGCCTTTCGACACTTCCGCCCTCCCTACACTTTTTCAGATAAACGAGGTGCCTCGTTACTGCCGAAAGCGGGTCTTCAAGCGATATACCGTAAGCGTCTCCATCAAAATACCCGGTTCTGGCAGCAAGATCCGAGTATTTTTTGCGTCTGAGATCGCCCCGGCCAGAGTCGCCGCAGTGGGAAGCTCCGAGGCTCCTGCGATGCCGAATTCGACGCTATTGCAGCGTCGACACCACGTTCATCCAGCGTCGTCGTTAAGTTTCGGTGCGGCTCTTTTCCCGTTGCGCGGTTGCAGCGATGGATATTGTCCAACGACTTCGGGTCTTGGTGCCTGTGATCAACAGAAGCGCGCTACGTGCAGTGCACGCCACGTTCACCTGCAAGTTGCAGTGGAAGGCCCTGAATCCATGCCCGGGTCGGCACGGTACTGCATCGATCGATCGGTACACGTATTAAATTTTGTTCGACTCGAGAGACTTTGGCCGAACGTTGTGCATACCGGTAACGCCCCCGTCTTCGGTCTGTGAGAAGATGGATCAGTCTCGCCTTGTTGGAGAGGGTAATGCGGAGCCACAGAGCCCAACGCACGTGGTCACCACTTGAGAGCGTTGACATTGCACTATCCATCGACTCCGACCTTACCCGATCGCAGTGGTGCCGGAGTATTAAATAAGGTAGGGCCACATTCCAGCGCAAATCGAGTTGGTGACCTGCGGTGCTGTCATGTAGAGGCTCGGGCGGCGCGCCATCAAGCATTCTGTCATCTGTAGAATTTAGGTGATCGCTGATGAGCGACCAATCAATCACATGAGTTAATTGCGAAAGAAGTGTATTAAACAGCCGTCAACAGGATGAGGCAACCTTATGACTGTGGCCATCCATTTCATATTGATGGCTTCTCTAAAACACACCGTGTATCGAGCTACAACAGTGGCGCTTGGACGAGGTGTCCAGATGAGTAAAGCAGCTCGATCAGTGTCGCTAGTTACTCGCACCGAAGCTACTGTTGCCGTTCTACCGGGAATGGATCATACGAAGTATGTAATGGAGAAGCCAACTATCTGTGCTGCTTCTGCCGACTCCACGTCAGAAGTATGGATAACTTCTGGCAGAACAGCACGGAGCGACTCGGTCCATGCACAAGTTTGTAACTTCAAGAATCACTGCAATCTTACATGTGGACATCCGAACACTACTTGCTATCACCACATGCTGAGGAAATACCATCGGTCAGTAGAAAACTACTGATCTGTCCCCAACGCGGCGCAGAAAAGACGGCAATCAGTAGAAAATGATTAAGTTCGATCCGTACCTAACTCTAATCATAGCTACATTTCTGCTGCCTTCAGCAAAACCGCTTTTGCCCTAAGCGTACCATGCCTCGAAAGCCGCCTCCGAATTATGGGAGTTTCTCCCCTCTGCGGTGAGAGAAAAAATTTCTTTATTTGTTAAAAAACCTCTCACACTCTCAAAAGAGGGGTGTGTTTGGGGGAGAAAAACACAATTTTTTATTTTCCCACCCCCCCCCCCCAAAAAAAGGGGGGGGGGAATATAGCCCCCCCCCCACACCATGTGTGGAAAAATGGTGTTTTTTCCCCCCCAAAAAAAAAACCGGGGGGGAAAGGGTGGGAATATTGTTAAGGGCGGGGGGTTTCCCTTGAGTGTAAACTCTCGAGGGGAGCCCAACATCAGGAAAGCGAAGTACGTCTGCAAAAACTAAATGGCATGGAGTTCTTTGATAAAGTTACCCCGGCAAAAGGATCTAAGCTGCCCATTCTTCATCAATGTACACGGAAAGAAATGGGGTATGGAAGATTACTCAAGCCAACTTCGCCCACAACCATCTCAAAAACATTGGATCTACTCAGAAACCACTCGCGGAGGGAAATATCCCTCGTGAAAAAAGGCGAAAAGGAACCGGTCTGTCCGTGAAGCTCAACTATCGGCTGTAGTAGCACGTGAAATTCTGCCAGCTCATGCCAACTCAGCTTCAACTCTTTCAGGGAAAGCTGTGCAGAAGTTTTTTAAAGGGAAGGGCATCAATGTCAGCAAATCTTCGATTTCTAGGATCAAGCAGGACCTGGACGAAAAATTGCATGGAGATTTACTCGAGAGCTACCAAAAATTGAAGTCGTACTTGGAGCTTCTGGCAAGTAAGAATCCCGGTTCCTTGTGGCGATATGAGAGCGAGAGCGATGGCGTGACCTTCAAGCGTGCTTGCATTGTCCCGAACGCAGGCGCCCACATTGTGAGTATGACTAAAAATTTGATTAGTTTTGATGGCGCTCATTTACAGGAAGACATGAACAAGCGAGGGGTTTTTCTTGTTGCCACTACAAAGGACTACAACAATCATATCATACCTTTTGGGTTTGCTCTGGTACCAACCGAAAATTACGACAACTGGGTTTCGTTTTTGAGGGCAGTCAAAGATGCAATTAAAGTAGAGAGAATCACGATTTTGTCTGATCGTCAAAAGGGTCTTATTTCTGCAGTTGCCGAAGTTTTCCCATCCGCTGGACACCGCTTCTGCCTCCGCCATATCATGGATAATATCAACAGAGCCAACCATAGACTCTCTCTTCAAGACAGAGCAACAATCTGCTCTATCGCTCGTTCCGACTGTGAAAATGACTACAACTTGTACATGAACGAGTTGGAGATTTCGAATTCAGGAGCCGCAGAATACCTCACTAAGAAGACTGAGGTAATCACACCGAGCGGTACCGAACAGAGACTAGTGCTTCCCACTGAAAACTGGGTTAAGTATAAGTTCTTCGAGAAATTTGGCCTGTCAACATACGATGAAATTACTTCAAACATCTCCGAACAAGCCAATAATTGGATGGGGAAAGATCTGCGCAGCTCAAAACCGCTTGATGCGTTTAACCTGTATTGCTTTAAACTCGGCCAATTGATGTCTGATAAAAGAAATGAAGCAGCAGATTGTGCACTTGTGGAAATTGGGAGGACGAACAATTTCCCTGTGTACACGCGATTTGTGCAGCTACCAAACATGGTATGAGACTTGAAGAACTGTACGACGCACAACGGCTTTCAATTGGGCACTTCAAGGATACCTACACGTTTAAGTTTCTCCCGTGGCCAACGACAGAAAGCCTCGTAACCAACCCGCAAACAAAGATACCACAACTAGCACCGGAGCCCGAGCGAATTGGCAAAAGAGGTAAGAAACCGGGACCACATCCGAAACATGCACGTAAAAAAGCAAAAAATGCTTTGTAGGGACGACTTTTCCATTTACAATTCACCCAATAGGCTCAAACTTTAAGGAAACTAACGACACAAACAATTGCAATCGTTGCATGCTGATTAATAATCAAGGTATTTCTTTCCAATAGATTATCTTACTGATCCTCACTCTCAATAAATATCAGCAGCAAACGGACTGGGGAGTCAATCTCTGTGAGTAGATAGAACTCTACTAACGTACCCTGAGAGTAACCAGTTGGATACGTCGTGTACCCAGCTACTTCAACGTCAACATGTTATTTCTGTGTACTATTTTTTAGCTGCTCAAAACGCCTTTATTTATATGGTTGTTTTTGTGGAGTGCACTTCGGTGGCATTCGCCATTTTGGTCGATGCCTCCGCTCAACCCCCGACAGCGTCACGCCCGAACGATCCAGCGACGTCTGGACAGCTCCTTTTGGCAGCTTCGTCTAAGCAGAGAAGCTAGCATACCGAAAGAAGTCGACCGAGAGCTGGACGCCGAGCGTGCATCGTCCATAGGTGGTGGGTTACGTGACGTTGTCAGTAGAGGAGGAGGTCTTTTTGCAAACGAGCGCCGAGCTCGTAGAGGAGACAATGCTTAGCTCTTCGAGGTAGAAAGAATATACGCCAAACGGTGGGTCAATAACTTCGTATACTACCTTATTCAATGGGTGGGGTACACAGAGTTGACGTGGGAGCCAAGTACCAACGTGCCAGCGCGCCTAAAGATGGTGTTCGAACACGAGTCAGTCAATTTCGTCTGGGTCTATCAATCTACGCGGGGAAGACGAACCCAGCGTCGCGAGCAGCCAACGCGCCGGAGTCAGAGACTGATAGACCAAACGAGGCAGGACTAAGAGAAAATGCAAATGCGAACTTAACACCAAACGAGGCAGCACTAAAAGAAAATGCAAATGCGAACTTAACAGCACCCCAGTAGCTGTGAAATCAGTAGTTGTGCAGGCAGCGCCGCGTTGGGGACAGATCAGTAGTTTTCTACTGACCGATGGTATTTCCTCCCACATGCTCTTCTCAACTATCAGGCCGACGACCCAGAAGATGCACGCGACATCATTCAGCAGCTGAATCTCTTCCTCATAAACTCAATTCTGATGAGACTTAATACATGATGATACATTGCTGCAATGCTTGACTTCAACACGGCCATTCCAATGCAACATAGTGAATCGTAGCCAGACGAGCGTGCTAGAAATCCGTCGGTGGCTACTTCCGCAGCACCTGTTGGCTAATAGTTTGAAGTCGACGGGCGTCGTACCGCTCCGCGAAATCCTCACATGCGCGGAGCGAGTCGACATCCAGCTGGGGTAGAAGCTCCACGAGCTGCAACTCGCATCGATTGGCCAGCACTGTGAGACCCAGAAGACTGGCGCCGACAAACAAGTCCATCATGTCGCTGGGCTCCAGTCTCGCGCTCAGCAATTCAAAGCAGCCCGTGTAGATCCACAATAGTAGCCCCTTGAATGCCTCGAGCGACACACCGTCACGGTGCATGTAGTGGAGGGGGATTTCGTGCGTCTGCTTCGATGACGCGTCCGATCCTTCCCCGGTCGTGGCTTCTTGCGCCGTCTTGCCTTCACTAAACCCGCCCATGAACATCGTGCGAAAATATTCCACTTGGGAGAGCACAGCCTTATGCGCTGGTAGTCGCTCGAACGTTTCGGGCTCTGAATCCTCTACAGGCCACAAGAAGACGACGTCAGCTACGTCCTCGGAGAGAACCATCCTCTTCATATCCTCTCCAAACTGCTGTGCTTCGGAGCTCGCTGGCCCCGTGGCAGTCAGGTGTCCAGCACGTCGAAATGAAGGTGGCGGGAGCGACGCCAATCGTTCCTTACGCCACGTATCCAGGCATTGGACGACGAGTGCGTCGCAACACACGCGACTGGCAAACTGGCCCAGCGCTTTCCGCTTGTGGCTGGCAACAGCAAGACGGTTCGTGTACAAGAACGCCAAATATGCACGGAACACCTGTGCGTCCACGTCCTGGAACTCATCCACTTCGAAGAGCCTTTCTTCCTTCTTGGCCACCTTCGTCCCGCCAGCTTGGGAGTCTGTCACGAGGTCGAGTACACGCAGAAGCCCTTTGATGTAGCTGCTGCGTGCACTCACGACCACTCGGTGGGCTTTAATACGTTCTACCTTTGTCGGCCCACCCACGAGGAAAACAAGGTCAGCGAAATCCGCGTTAGCGAGCACTCGATCGTAGCTAAGAGAGTAGTGAGCTCCTCGTGGACGCACGGCCACGGCGCAGTGATTGGAACCAGCACCCACCGCAACGGCCGCGTTGTCTTTTAGGCCAAAAACACGCTGCGGATGCACCGAGTGCTGGTATTTGCCATTGCCCAGCACGCCAAACGCGTTCCACCCCCACGACATGAGCGAGCCGTCACGTGATAGAGCGAATGTCGAGTGCGAGCTGCAACAAGCGCTGACCACTTTGATCCGAGGATCATCGGCCAGTGCTTGCTGCACGCGAGGGAAGAAGTAGTGCGCGTTGTGTTGGAGATCGTAGAACGTCTCACCCGCGCCGTGTTGGCCGTACTCACTGTGGCCCCAAGTGTATACTTTGCCGTCATCAGTGACGGCCACGCTGTGATGGCTGCCAGCAGCAACCGACACGGCCGGACGGGCCAGCTTCACCTCCTCCGGGAGCCACGATTTGTTAATCCCTGTGCCCAATTGGCCCAGCACGCCGAGACCCCACGAGAAGCAGACTCCAGACCGGGACTTAGGATCGTCGTCATGAGAGTTCTCACCTGGGTCTATTACTCTAGAGCAGGCGAGTGAGTGTTGCTGGCCACATGCAATGTGCTCGATAAAGTAGCTTTCCAACGCCCGGATGCGCTGGAACTCGGCCGAGTTGCGTCTCGACCCGAGCCCCAGCTGGCCGTTGTCGTTGTAGCCACAGCTATACACTGCACCCTCGTTCGTCGTGGCCAGCGAGTGGGCGAACCCGGCTGCGATATTAGTCACCACGAGTCGGGCCAACGGGCCGGTGGCCAGTCTTGGCGTCATGCACGGCGCTCGAACCGTTTGTACCTTGACGTTCTCCCCATTAACGACCCCGGCGTCTTCGTAGACCTGCATTGAGTCCCGAACGAGTCTAGCCATGATGGTGTCGTCCATGTGACGCCGAAGATCGCCCCGGGAACGGGCGCGTTGGGCCTCCCGCATCTCCTCGCTGGACAGACCGGCCAGCTCGACTGCGGCCCGGTCCGAGGCGTCCGTGGCCTCTCCGTTCTCGTCGTATAGCACCTTGGCCACAGGCAAGAGGCCCCACATGAACACGTCGCCCGACACTGTGAGGGCCAGCGAGTGCGATTCGCCGCACGAGATCTTAGTGACCAGCTGGCCGGCCAACGCACCGCCGATACGACGGGGTTGCGACACAGCGCTAGCGACGCCGGCCACGTTGCCCAGACCCAATTGGCCCTCGCGGCCGCGGCCCCAGGCAAATACTTGACCGAATTCATTGAGGGCCAGCGAGTGGCGCTCACCGGCCGAAAAGCCGACGATCACCTCGTTACGTAGAGCTTCCACTTGGCGCTGTTGTGGGTTGAAAACATATTGATGCAATTAGAGAACGGAAGAGAGCTGGGCGTTGGATACAACTTGTTATGCCCACACCAGTTCGAAGACCTCCTTGTCCGCTACGTCCAGGCCGAGTTGCTGCGAGTTGTTGTGGCCCCACACGTACAGCGCCATAGCGACGGACAGAGTTGCGAGGACTGACGTACGCCGATCGCAATGTTTATTCTTTCGCCACGGATTGGTGGAAAAATGAAGCTCACGTAGAATCAGATTTTTTCTTGACGAAGTGGGTTGAGAAGAATTCGACATCTCCTGTGGTGTTCTCTCGATGGAGGGCATCAGTGCGCTGGAAGATAAGGATCCCACATGGTTTTCCTTTCGCGTGGACGGGTGGCACCATCAGCAACTAGCTGCTCTAGGCTACAACGTGAAGGACTCCTTCACGTTGTAGCCTATCAGCTAAAAGTCCTTCAAGGACGGTGATTGAGCAATGAATTGCGAGCATGTATTGTTCTTGATTGTAGTATTTTCACCACCTTCATGTACTGAACAACAAGCTGTTGCGTTCCCGTGAATCTTGAAAAGGTGTTCATTGCTCGCCACCTTCGGCCAACTTTATCATCGGCACTTCGGTGAGTCCCACTGCGGGTATGAGAAGCTCCGTTATTCGGAACGTCATTTTGGTCACATTTGCCATTCGCGGTGAGCATCACACTCTAAACACTACCCGATCAGATATAGAGAGGCAATTCGTAACATTGAAAACAAAAACTTTACTTTGAAATTTCGAGCTGTCAACCCGGTCTTACGGTCTTGTTCAAGCTTGGAACACGTACAGTACCACCCATTTTGGTACTACTACCTGTAATATGTAGTATTACACTTGGTCGACAAGTCAGGATCACGTATGAAACCAGCATTTTTCTTTTCTTGATAGACTGATTACTCCTAATACGCATGGAATACAGCTGCATGGAGAGAGATGGATCGGTTTGGTTTTAATCCATCTCAATGTATTCGCGATATCCTGCACTCTACTCCGTAAATCTAAGTTGCAACTTACAACGCACTTTGAAGCCTTTGCTCAGCGTACGCGACTCAATTATCCCTCCATTAACCCTTCTAATACGACCATTACGGATTATCCGGAATGTAATTTCAAAGATGAAATTGTTCCGCATTGTCCGCAACAGATTTGCAGCACTGAAAATCCGCATATTGATATTTGTATAGGATAAATTTTAGCAGGCCAACTGTAGCAGCTCCGACCGATGAGACATGAAATATTTAGAATGTGGTTAGGGTTGCAGATATAAGAAACTGGGGGCGCTCGCCAGCCTTTCATTTCGAGATCTGCGCCCGAGAAGAGACCATCACTCCTGTTCGAGAATATGTACGCCTACGCTACCGAGAAAACGTTTGCCCATATGTGGAACGAGCTTACCAAGAAAGGCTGGAAGTTTCGAAAGTCGTTGGGGCTGAGCGACGATCGGAGGTATCTGCCGCCGGGTGGGAGTCTCAAAGGAACGGAAGGCGTTGACTATTTCCTCGGTACGTTACTTATGAACACTGTTTCATGCTGCTTTACTATCTAACCCCTTTTGGAATAGGTGACAAGAGTCTAATGAACTATTGCCGAAGCCAAGGGTGGCTATCGTTTGACCCTTTACCAAACCCAACGCCGTCCACCGCGTCACCAGTTGCTTTGACGTTGTCTGGTGCTGCACAGACCCCCGATCCACACACGACGTGTGAAAGTGAGCTTTCAGCCGCAGCGAAAGATGCGCCACGACAGCCGAGGCCTGCAGCAAAGGCTAACCCTCGTGACAACACGTCCAGGTCGCATGCAGTTGAACGAACACCACAAACGGCCAGCCAACACAAGTCTTCAGCGTCAAGCCAAGCTTCTAAACAACGTCGCGCTGGTAAATTTATCAGTTGGCCTCTGCTTGAGCTTTACTAACGTATTTATAACGGTTTATACAGAACCCCCTATTCTGGATACCATTCAAGTTGTTCCAGATACTACCTACCAGACTGGTCCGGATATTCCTGCTGAAAGGACGGATAATCCGGACGTGGCAATTCCGGAAGCACTGGATGCCGCGCGTGCTGGCCTCCGAACCGGTGTCTCTCTTGACGATTTTGATTCTGATGACTTTATCAATGCCCTGCGGCGGGACACTTTATTCGAAGATCTCGATGCTGATGATTTCAACAGGGGAGGAGAGGACTGGTTGCGAGCCCTAGACTCGGATGCAGAAGGTGACGAAGAGCTCATTCTCCAAGATGGAAATGATGATGAATCTGTGGACGACATTGCTTCAGTCGCCAGTGACGAGAGTGGTGACGATCTTGCGAATGAAGATGATGATGTGCCTGTGGACTTTGATCTGACTAGTGAAGACTTGGATAACGTCCGCGCAGGAGGCTGGGACGTCTACATGGAGCAGCAGTCTTGTCAAGTACTGCGGGAGGGCTCTTCTCTCTACGAAGGTCCGTCTGGTCCAGCTCGCGCTGCATTAGCTTACGCTGAAAACCCATTGGCGATCTTCTATTTCTTCTTGCCGAAGGAGCTGTGGCGAAAAATCGCAAATGAAACGAACAAGTTTCGCCGAGGCAGTGCGGAATCTATCGCCCAGCAGATGCGAGCACGTGCCCTTCTCCGTCGTGAGACCGTTCCGTCGACTGCTGTACTCACTACCGAGGATTACAGAAGAAAGTTGGAACGCAAGAGCTCAATACAGCCCCATGAGATTGTTCGCTTTATTGGACTACTTGTCGCGAGAACGCTGGAGCCGCGCCGAGAGAGTCTCAGTCGTCATTGGATTACGAAGGCTGAGGGTGCACTATCCCGCGGTACATTCGGACAGCTCATGAGTCGGGATCGTTTCCACGACATTGCTCGCTACTTGCATTTCAACGACAATGCCCGGCAGCACGACAGTGCGGATCGTGCGTTCAAGATCCGTCCTGTTATTCAAGCTTTGCAGAAGACATTCTTCCGCGGATATCGGCTCGGTGCGCGAATTTCGTTCGACGAGGGGATGGTGCCAATGCGTCACCGCCGCAATCCAATGCGCCAGTACATGTCCAACAAGCCGAACAAGTGGGGTACGAAGCTCTACATGACGTGCTGCGCGGACACCGCGTATTGCTCGAGGTATGTTGTACGTTTATTACGGATATCCGGCACATGTGGCGAATATCCGTGCTAGTTTTGGTTCAGTGCATCCGTAATGTGTTCCGCACTATCCATATTGTATTCGCCTTATCGCTAACAATATGGTGTGTTTGTATGTGTAGACTGGAAATTTACTGCGGGAAAGCGAACGCTAACGAAGACGCTGTGGCGCAGCGAGCTGTGGTGAAGAATGTGACGCGCGTACTACAAGGACAGCCTTCTCAGAGGCTTATTTGTACAGACAATTTCTATACGTCAATCTCGTTATCGGACAAACTCCTCAGTATGGGTCACTACCACGTCGGGACCATTCGCAAGGACCGGAAAGGGTGGTGTAGAGCTATTGACTTTACGCAGAAAAAGAGACCGAAGAAAATGGCCAGAGGAACTTACCGAATAGCTGTATGGAGAGATCGCCCCGAGTTCGTAGCTCTGTCGTGGATGGACAGCAAGCCAGTTACATTTTTAGCGACTGGTTGCTCCACCCAAATTACTCACGTCACCCGTAGAGAGCCCGGCGGATCGATCTCCCAAGTCCCATGCCCTCAGCTGGTTCGAGACTACCATGAAGCGATGGGAGGTGTGGACGTTCATGATCAACTACGCCTTCAACGGTACTCGATCCAGCGCTCCATCCGCATGCGAAAGTACTACAAGACCATTTTTTCTCGGCTTAGTGGATATTGCTATGGCAAATGCTTTTATCATTCACAAGATCGCCCTGCGTCGTCTCAACAAGCCCGTTTTGCGCATGCCGTGTTCATGCGGCGACTACATATTGCCCTGTTGAGTCAGACAAGCGAAGATTTTGCCGGGGACGATGACTTAGTAGACCTCGTGACCGAGCCACTTCCTCGAAGCGCGCACACGCTCGAGAAGACGGAAGAGAAAAACGGAAACAAGCGCCGCCAGTGGCTCTGTAAGGTCTGCTCAGCGTACGCGGGTCCTGGCGTCCGCAGCTTCGAAACGAGCTATTTTTGCGCGACGTGCTCAAGAGTGAAGAAGGGGCGCGTTACTCTATGCAATAAGGCTCGCCGACTAGACCACGGTAGCGCTCTCACCTGCAACGAAGTATGGCACCAGAGCTGGCGCAACGGCATGGCTATTCCTGCTGAGATGCAGCACAAAATCCGGTTTGTAGAGAAGCGTAGACGCGAGGTCTGTAGCGAGAGTGAAGAAGACTAATGAATGGCACTTGGGAATGATGTTCACATTTTGTTGTGTTGTCGTTTGGGTAATGCCCAACGGTTTTGCAGGGAGATCGCAATTGACAGTAATTAGGACGATTCTGGCTGGTATCACAGCCACTGAAGCAGGTAAGGCTAATTACCTCTTGATGCACAAGCACGCCTCTTGAATCAATCCCTCGACATCATTTCTCAATTTACCACCTCAAACAACAACAAAAACAACATGCTCGACTCGCAGCCGCTGTCTCCTCTCCTGGCCACCGTCTTCGCTCTACTTCTTGTCCTGTGGAAGATTACCACCAAGCCATCGCCCCACACGAACGGCCAGAAGCTGTTTCGACCGACATCCACTCTTCCATTCCTCGGTAATACCCTCGACCTGCTCTGGTTCCAGCGGGACCAACTGCACGACTGGATGACAGAGCAGAGCCTCGCCAGTGGTGGTAAACCGTGGCTTCTAACAGGCATCGGCCAGCTGCCCAAGATCGTCGTGACTGCCGCTGCCGCCTACGAAGACGTGTTTAAAACACAGTTTGACGTGTTCGTACGCGGTCCGGGTGAGACGGTGTTGGAAGTCTTGGGCGAGGGCATCTTCAACGTGGACGGTGACAAGTGGAAGCACCAGCGTCGCGTCACGAGCCACCTCTTCTCCATGCACATGCTCAAGGACTGTATGAACGCCGTAGTTCGTGAGAAGACCGTCAAGCTTCGTGATGTACTCGCCATGTGTGCTGAACGAGGAGACTCCGTGAGTATGAAGTCGCTGCTCAACAAATACACTGCCGACACGTTCACGCGCATCGGCTTCGGCGTGGAACTCAACGGCCTTGACGAGCCTGTGGACGTCGATACGACGCAGCCATTGGACGCTGCTCTTCGGGTAGTGCAGACTCGACTTCAGAGTCCTGTGTGGCTCTGGAAACTCCGTCGGTTCTTCAGTATCGGCCGCTAACGGGTGGTGCATGAGAGCATGCAGAAGGTTCACGATACCGTTAAGCAGATCATGGCCAAGTCTCTAGAAGACAAGAGCAAACTCGCGACGTCTGATACGCCACACAGGGATCTGATGACACTCATGCTGCAGTCTGGAGACTTCACGGACGCCCGTGAGATCCGCGACGTCGCTGTCAACTTCTACGCGGCGGGTAAAGACACCACCGCCTTCAGTCTGTCGTGGTTCATCGTCATGATGAATCGACACCCTCTTGTTCTCTGTAAGATCCGCGAAGAAATACGTCGCGTGGCCCCGGGATTGTTCGTGGGTGAACTGGACACGCCAACACTGGAACAACTGCAACAAATGACGTATCTGGAGGCAGCGTTGAAGGAGAGCTTGCGTCTCCACTCACTCGCCGTCTATCGTCTTGCCAATCGAGACACGACGATGTATGACGGCACGTTCGTCCCTAAGGGAGCACGTGTGGTCTTCTCAATGTACGGATCAGCTCGTCAACCGACGGTGTGGGGCGCTGATGCTGCCGAGTACAGACCAGAGCGCTGGATCGACGAGAAGACTGGGAAGATGAAGACCATCTCGTCGTTCCAATTCGTCACCTTTAGTGCCGGTCCGAGACAATGCATCGGTATGCTTTGGCCATGATGGAGATGATGACGGTGCTATCAGTGGTCTACAGTGGCGTCTGACTCAATGTGGGGCACAGCTTTTTCATCATTTCCATCGTTGAGCTCGAGCTCTTCGCTGCCAAGAGCATGCGAATCTTGGGCTCGCATCCAGTCCTCTCCTCCCCGGTTGAGATCATCAGCAACGAGGGGGACGAATGAATTGTCTCGGAAAAGGAAAGAGATAAAGTCATCAGAATCATGAGTGGCCTCAGCTGATGAGCATCCTACTAGGATGAGCATCCTACTAGGATGCTCATCAGCAGAGGCAACTCATGCATTACGAAGGACAAAAAACAGTATGATGCTCATCAGCGACTCTCGTTAGAGGCTCTAACTTAGAGCACATTTAATGACAATAACACAACAGTCTTACGGCACATTTAACGCGCTAAAGCACATTTATCATGCTCGGTTACTCATAAATGTAATATAACTTAGCGCACATTAAATGTGCGCTAAGTCACGATAAATTTTATCGTGAAATCTCTAAATTTATGACAGTAGCGCTGGGTCTTCTTGATGAAGTACCTGTCGATGCCCATAGTGCCCGATCCTCCTGCGTCTTTGACATGAGGCCTTCGCACGTCAATGAGCGAATCAAAGTATCGGCCGTGAATCACAAGTACGGTGGTATTTGTTCATGTATTTCAGATGCACTACACTACTGAGGTGACCTGCTATCTACGTTTAGTGTGTTACCCAAAGTACTTCAGTACTAGTAATTGGTCTTGTATGCCTTTGCAGCTGGCTCGGCGCTCTTGTGGAAAGGACTGCTCATTTGAGAAGCACAGCAAAAGCCAAAGCGTTCGAAGTCGCATGGATCTAACGTAGGACATACTTACACTTCGCTTTGTGTTGAATCGCGTCACGTTATTCACAAGCGCGTATGCTTGAGCCAATATCATCACCCCGCAACTTGCCCCATCGGGTTGGATGGGGTTTCGCCGAATCTTCTTCTTTACTTTAGGAAGCTTCCGTAAGGGAAGCGTAGGCTGGTTGTTCGAAGCACAATTTTTATTCCACTCCACTCGCTGCTTGATCCAATCCTTGTGTCATTGCTGAATAAATGGATACATCCCGTGGTCCCATTCACGCTCGGTTTCCGTCTCGTACTTGCCAATAGGGTCGTACAAAAATACCGAAATCTTCTCTTTGAAATCGATTTTCGCAACAAGAAGAGTCCAATGCTCGCATGATATGTTGCACGGGTACACTAGATATTTCATGAGAGACAAGTCCTCTACAATTTCATCTCCGGTTGGGGTCCTTTGGCCTTGGATAGTGGGTGTTGAAGGCCACGAAGCCAACCCAAAACTAGATTCAAAAACACGGCAGCCATCTCGCAGATCACACAAATACTGCAGGCACATTTGAATCACTGTGTCCGTGAGAAAGCAATTGCGAGCTACCGAGCCGACCACATCGTTGAAAGTCACCGAAAAATTTCCCGATGGCAGCATGAATGCAGTCTGAAAGCTCGCCGATTTGTACTTGGCGATAATATCATCCGCACAACCTCGATCACGACTGTAACGGGCCTGGAGTGTCCGTTACTTGCTTACACGTAGTGATGAGGAAGCGTACAAGTTCAGTGATACTGAAACCAAGTACTTAGTCTGAAGGAAAATCAACTCTGTTTTTATTTAGGTCCAGGGCAGCTTGCCCTGACCACTCAAATACACGTCAACTCCTTATTGGTTGATTATGGGTCTGGCTCCCCATATTTCAACCAATAAGGTGACGGCAGTTCAGCACACGCTACTCGTGTGCTGCTGCACCTACTTTTGTAATGCAAATCTACCTACTTATGTAATGGTGTGAACCACTACAAAGAACCTATAAAACTACCTACATATGCAACTTGGGAGAGCCCATTACATCACCCCCCTCTTAAGACAGCAATCACCTAACGGGGGTGCGCTTCGGAGAACAATCGGGAAAAACTGGGAAATGGCGGAGAAGAGAACGCTTGAGAACTTTGAGTTCCTGCGAAGCCCAGGAGCAGCACAATACAACTTGCGCGGACGAGAACAACATGGCGCAGCAGACGGGGGCGGCGAACCAGGCAGTAAGCGGAACAACGCGGACGGCTCCAGCGTCGGCGACGACGCTGAACAATGGGTGGACCGCTGATATCGCACCTAAGAGCGTGAGTCGACTTGGGTTTCGGCCCGGCGTAATGAACGAGGATATGAAGCCGTGGGCGCTGTACGACTTGTCCGGGGCGGTGACCCCGGACGCGTTGGACACCATGCAGGACCACTTTCGGCGCTTCAGGCGTCTCCGGAACAAAACACTCGACGGCGCGACGTACGAAGCTTTGCAGAGATCATGGTGCGCTTTCATCCGACGGTGGAATCGGATGCATGAGGCTGGAGAAAGTGTCGTCGGCTGGCTCGGTGATCGCGAAGCCTTACAAGCCGAGCATTCACTCGGTGATCTGCGCCTGAAAGTCTGCGACGACGCTTGGACCGAAGACCGTTTGTGCTATGTCAACGTACGCGAAGGTTGCAGTTCGTGTGACATCGGGCGACGCCCGACGCAAGCTGAGTGGGATCAGCATATTGTCGAGTATCCGCTCATGCCGACCGAACACGCTTGGATCGAGAAGTATAAGCGCTCACTCTCCGAGTTCACCCAAGCGGCTATTCGCGGGCGGCTCGCGCCGACAGCGTTCGAGACGGAGCCCGTCTCCGGCGGCATTCGACGTCTCGTCGGGCGCGTAGTCGATCGTGTTCCCGATCGCCGCGAAGGTCGCTCGCGGCCGCGTTTGACTCGAGGCTGGAGTCGTAGTCGTGGACGACATCAGGAACGTCACGAAGCAAGTTGGCGCGAGGCTCCCACGTATCATCAGCAGGTTGAAACCCGAGCCATCGTACCTTATACTTCCGCGCGGCGGTAGCCGCGTGTTGAGCCGACGACTTGGTTGAGTGACGCACGCGGGGAGGATCTTCGTGATCAACAATACGGTCCACAATCCAGCACGTATCTCCTTTCGAGTCAACGAAGGGCGGAGGACCGTCGCGGTGGAATTCGACGCGACCTGGTTGACCAGGACGATGTTGAGCAGGCGCTGAACACTTCTCGGGACGCACAGGAGGAGGCCGAGCGGGCGGCTGAGAGCTCTCGGAACGCCGAGGCGACGGCAAGTAGTCTGCGGCAGTCGAATCGTGAACTCTTGCAGCGACTGCGTAGTCTGGAGACGCAGGTGTTTGGAGGACCGAGGGGTGGAGCTCTTCCGCGCGAGCGGGGAACTGGGACAGATGGGACGCTGGCTCGACAGGCTCATCGCGAGGGCCGCTCAACGCATGCTCCTGCTCCGCCTCCGGGATCATCGCGGGAAGATACTTCTTAAGTCGCCCGACGTAGAACGTCGGGTGTAGTCGTAGCGACGTAGGAATGTCTAGCGTGTAGGCATCTCCCATAACTCGTAGTACTTTGAATGGCCCAATGTAGCGCGGCGCGAGTTTGCTCGCGCCTAGGTTCGTAATAGCAGAGGTACGAATTCCATCCGTTGAGAGTAATACCCGCTCATCAATCTTGAATGCACTTGTGTTCTTGCGGCCACGTTTGTCAGCGTTTTTCTTCTGCTTGTCAACCGCGAGTTGTAGCGCGTCACGGACGAATCGGGTAACCGATTGGCGATGAAGGACAAAGTCGGATACCGCTGCCTTGTCAGCGGGTCGTGCTGGGGGTTTCGGCGCGTAGCTAGCCACAGTCGAGTGTGGCTGTGCTGGAGCGAACAGCGTTCGGTGTGTCCAGTCAACTAACGGCGACGACGTGGATTGCGCGGGTGCGAGAATCTTCTTCGACTGTAAACGCGTCACCGCGTTGATGTCTACTGCAGGAGTAGCTGAACTCGTAGACGGCAGAACCGTTGTCTCACCGGAAACCGGTGGTTGAACCAGTATCGGAACCGGTTGGGCAGGGTTATCACATTCCTCCCCCTCCAGAGTGAAGCCATCAGTCGCCGTGGGTTGGCCCACAGCAAGTTGTGCGGGGACACGTGGATGACGCGCGTTGTTGACGAAAAACGGAGTCAATCCCGTCGACGCGTGCTCGGCATTGTTGAGTGCAAACTCCGCAAGAGGCAGGAAGGAACTCCAGTTCTCGAAGGACGGGGCATAACTGCGCAGAACATCTTCTAGCACGCGGTTGACGCGTTCCGTTTGCCCGTCAGTCTCCGGGTGCGCCGCCGTCGACATGAGGAGTTTGGTGCCCAGGAGGTCGAAGAGTTTCGTCCAGAACGCCGATGTGAATCGCAGATCGCGGTCAGAGACGATTGATTCAGGAAGGCCGTGATGTCGGAAGACAGCGTCGATGAAGAGCACCGCGGTATCGGCCGCGGTGATTGAGTCCGGAACCGGAACGAGATGGCACATCTTGCTAAAGCGCTCCACGAAGACCAGAACACCAGTACGACCGTCAGTATCGGGTGGGAGACCGAATATGAAGTCCATTGACACAGAGCGCCACGCCTCTGTCGCCAGAGGGAGAGAACGCAGCGGAGCTTGCGATGACGGTGACGGCTTAACGCGTTGACAAGTTTCGCAGGAGCGGACCCACTTGCGCACCCACTTGTATAGGTGAGGCCAGTAGAAGTCGCGGGATACCGCTGCGAAAGTCTTCTCACGGCCCAAGTGGCCACCCACTGGAGCGTCATGGAATTCGTGTATAATTCTTGCGCGTAGATCGGGGTCGTTGGGGACAACGACGCGAGGAGCATCGAATCGATCGATACTGTACATCAGTAGATCACCGTCAAGTTGGTATCTGTGAATCTGGTCGCGCGTGGAGCGGCTCAGTGTCTTTAGCGTGGCATCACTTGGTGTGCGAAGGTGTTCCAGGATACCAGCATATATCGAGTCATCTCGATACGCGGCAGAGATCTCTTTTCGCAGGGGAAGTATTGGAGATACCGCCGACATCAGGCTCACACCTGCAGCCACACATGTGGCGCAGTCCAATTCGTCGTCG